CCATTTATTTGTAAGTCAATGCAAAATATCTAATTTCAAAACAAACGGAATCACATTTAATCGGTAATTAAATATTTAATATGTAATTTTGCAATATTCGTCCATTATAGCAAAGCTCAAGTTAACTGATCAATTTGAAGTGAAACAGTTAATAACGACACCCGTCAATTGTTTCGAACTCGGGCTAGCCAATCGGAGCGCAGTTGTCACAGTAATGATATGGCAGAATAGTTTTCAAACAAATTAAATGACATTTCGTCTCTATTTCTGGTTATATACTCGATACAATGTGGTCTGTGGTATCAGTCATCCAGCACACGGTCGTACCTACGATGGTTTTGTATTTTTAATTCTCATTGTAGGTACCGACTGTGTGATGGCATGACTGATACTGACAAAGGTCACTTTAGTTAAAATAATAGTAGGTAATAACAACAACTTTCATGTTGTATTTTTTTTTTTCATTTGTAAAAGGTGTGACATTACATTACGGTAACTATTTTCTATTTGATTTTTGTTTAAAAGCAGAACACGGTATGTGAGCTACTGTTTTTGTTTTATTGTTATAAATATCGCTAGGAGTAAGAAATTAATCTCATTATGTAAACAGCCGTGATCTCTAATTACCAAACTTTGAATATTAGAACATACTGTTATTAAAAATTGATCAGTTTTATTTTTATGGCATCCTAAATGTTATACATGCTGCATTTTAACACAAAATCGCTTGGCCTGTAAAATTACAAAAGTGGCGGTTACAGTGTAATGATTTTCAGGTACGGAAATTAACTTTTATGTTTCTCGAAATGAAAACCATTTTCTTTTTTTTCGTGTAGCCTTCGACAAAGTGTTGTGGTTAATGCTACTTTTTATAGGGCCATGAAAAAAATTAATTTACAACCAGTCTTATGAGATTGTAGAAGAGTTAAGGTAGACAATGTTATTATGAGCGTCTGAGCTTCGTTTTTTATGATACCAGGAGACGGGAATAATTTAGTCGTGCGCCTGGTGTCCAATTGTAGTCAGCGCCACTTAAAACTGCCTCGGTGACCGAATGGTTAACATGCTGAAATGCCACGCAGAGAAAGATAAATATTTTTATGGCCTACATTTAAAACTTCCGTGAGTTGGGGTGCAATTTGTGGTTGTCTATCTGTGTGTGTCCATAGCACCCGCGATACAGGTTTTAAAAAACTTTTAAATCACAAATATTTGAGGGACAATGCCACTGAGCCCCCTGTCACCCTGTGACTCATATTATGCTCACGTTTACTTTATGCACAAAGTCGGTTAGTAATCAAAGTCGGTATTAGAATATCGTAACCGTGTACAGGGTGATCAGTCAACAAATACTTTAAACTTTTAAATTAAACTTAATATTTGAAGTGACGTTTTCCGAATTATAATTCGTCAGAGACAACTACATTCGTCTGTTAATCCCGAACCTTAGTAAAATAAATGGCTGTTCTTTTGTCATAAGTTGATCAACTTATGACAAAATGAATAAAACGGAACCCACCTGTCAATGACAAAGTATTCAATGCATTTAAACGACACGATTTCGGTGAAACTCCAATTTCTAGCCATTAACCTTTCGTTCAATAAAAGGATATTATATTTGAGAATCATTATTCAAAATAGAGACAATAGGTGTAACAAGATGCTCTGATATGCCATTTTCATTAGCACTTTGTAAGTCATTGTTAGCACTCATAGTCAATGTTAGCACTTTACAGTTTTAGCCATGCATACTGTTCACGTTAACGCCTGACAGTAAGCTGACGACACTGCAAATAATTGTATCACTAAAATATATTTGCGCTAAAAAATAGTCAGGCACTGTGTGTGTTTTTATACCATCACGCGTATCCTTCTAAAGAGAAGATCGACTACGGAGTTTCTTCAGCTATTACTGGTGGCAGAGGTCTTAGCTTACTACCCGCCTAACTAATTAGCAATCTTCAAGATTGTAGGGTGGGAATACACATTGTAATTACAGTTTGTCTCCTGGGGCCGGGAACTCATTTAAGAGGATATTTTATTCGTAGCACGTGTGGCTATCGTCTATATCTATCTATTCTGTATTATATAATTAATTGGGTCAATGAAATTCCTGCAATTCTGACGTGTTTGCCATTGTATCAGTTGGAACTTAAAAGTAAAGAAAAGAAAATTGACAGACTATTTAAAGAAGGATGGCTACACCCATATATTTTGTGACCCAGTGTTTTTGATGACGTGTCTTAAGGAGACATATCAATACTTGTGTAGGTTGTGTATGTAGGTTATGTTTATAACATTGTCCTGTATTTCGCCTCAGATATATGTTTCTAGTAGCAGAAAACAAGAAGTTTTCAGTTTATTCCCAAAAATAATAAAGAACTTTCTGAATATTCCCAAATCTACTACATTTAATATAACTTATCACGTTCTCCAGCAATGGAAATGAATAAAAATTAAATCTGCCGAAATGGCAGAAATCTGCCACAACTGGTCACACTGTTCTCAATATCAATGTGACATGATTCGCTCTGGACCTTTTGGAGGGAAAATAGTCGTTTTTATTTTGACTTTCAATTATTTTGTGAAATCTAGTTTAAAGTGGAATAGGATAGTGCTATTGTGCCTTAATCGAAGATTAAAACGCGAAATTATACTAATCTCGACCTAAAATACTCGTAACGGCCCGTTTTAAGGAATCCCGAGTCAATCCAAGCACGCCGCCCGCCTCAAATTGCCTATCTTCTTTGTGGCGGCCATGTTTACAGAAACACAATTAAACTTCATGTTTAGGCTGATGGCTTTGCCAAAGCCTTAATAAATTTAAAAAAAAATCAATGTGACATTGACATTGGCAAGAGGCCTTTTGTCAAAGCGATCTTTTGATAACTTTCATAGCACTCATTTAAATACCGTCTAAACATTTTTGTCACATTGTGTTTTATGTTTACTTTATCATTAATTACTGTTTAATTGGATTATTTGATTAGGTATTTTATAGCTTTATAATGTTTTATGTGAGTACTATAAAATAACCAATTCTTTAAGTAGGTAAACATTCAATCATGCTTAAAATTAAACGTACACACAAGAACGTTACCTAGTCTGTGGTCAAACTGAATCAATTGCGTTGTGTTCTTGCATCTATTCTAAAACACAATGTTTTACATTTTTTTTATTCCCGACTTCTAAAGATATACAACAATATATTGATAACTAGGCATAAACTAAAACGCAAAATTATACTAGCGAAATCCGTGAACAGCTTTTCGCCGTTATTGGGGCAGCTCTCGCCATCCTTCTTTTACAATTCGTATATAAATTGACCACGGTGATGTAACACTTTGTTCCACGCTTTTCCTGCGCTTTGTGAAACTTACAAAGACTGACTATTTGCAGCGAACGACGCGCGCACAGAAAGGAACTCAGATCCGTCCGATTTTGTAACGTACAAACTATAGACGAGCTTATAAACTAGTTGTGTGTTTTCCGGAGAATTCTCGCGTATTCTCCGAAATTCTAGATACCGTATCGTATCTAGTTTGTACGTTACATAATTATCATTAAGTTCATTATGCTTTGTACAATTTCGTTACATAAATTAGCGGATACGGACCTCAACCTTCTTTCTTCTACGGGCAATATTAAAACTGTGCAAAATAAAATACTAACGTACAATTTGAGGGTTCAATTCAAACAGTCTCAAAATGTTTCCTGCAGTACGTGTGTAATACGTACGTGGTATTACATGACTGAAAACTTGGTTTGCGCTTACTTGATGTGAAATAATGTAGGCTCGCCTTATTTATTTCAATTCGAATTCAACATGGATTTAAGTTTTAAAAAAAATGACTACGTCTCTGTTATGCAAGACTCCTATATTGAGGTTCAATTCTGTAGTTCCAGCACAAAGGAAGACTGTTTTTGCTTTCACACCTTTCAGGGAAGACTGCAGAAACGCGGACGCTTCTAGAAAGAAACTGGGGTTTTTAACATTGCAATAGGCAAACATTTTCCTACACAACGAAATTCTAATTCTTTTTATACATCTTCTTGGCGTGTAGACTCTGACATTTACATTTGTGAGGACCAGTACTTAGCGGCTAAGACAGCATTATCAGTGGCGTTGTACAGGTCCTCGCGTTTACACGTTTACACACACGTTAGAGCACATGTTCTTTCGAGATTTTGATGCATCGATGTGGCAAACCTTAGAGCTCATGATTCATAGGTCAAATGGACAATCGAGCCTACGTTTTCGATCAATTAATGTTTGATAATACGGCATTCTATCTCAAATAGGGAATCCCTTCAAAGTCGATTAAAAATTAACATTAGACAACATTGGCTTGCCATATAATATAGGTACGCCATAATTTGCAATAAAATGAGCTTATATAATTAAGTCTTTGCATCTAATCCAGCCCCATTTAAGTAACCTTCGCTGTTTTGAGTCCTCACGAAGTTCATTCTCGTGATTTTTCACAAAATCATCATCTAAACCATCGTTTTGAATAATGCTTTTGCTTTGAAACGTCAATGTTATTAGCATTCGAAGTCATTACTTTTCGATCTCATTCAAAAAGTTCCGTACCTCATTTACCCATTACGGCACTCGATTTCAAGTAAAGTAGCTATAATATTTATATCGGTGCTATAATAATTATTATGCTCAAGATTATCGATATCATAATGATAATAGAAATATGGGACGTGTAGGTTTATTTTTTCACTTTTATGCGCTCTATTAATTCATGTTTGAACTATTTAGCGGTATACATAACGTCTAACTCTACAATAGCTTCACTACGAAATAATACCGTTCCATCTTGCTAGATGGCATTGTACACATTTTAAGCTTTAAAGTTACTCTAATCAATTCACAGATGTCGCGTAACATATTTTGTTGAAAACTACATGAAAAATTTTACGTTAATTCACTTTTTATTTAAATGACAAAATTTAAACAAGGTACAAATGTGAAATTATAACTAGTATTATATTTATTCCATAGCTAGACACTACTATTAAGCTATTAATTTCAATCTATTTACAAATTGGTCTATAAAAAAACATTTTAATATCACAGATATAAAGAATTAAATAATTTGATTCTCAGGTTTGTCCTCAATGAATTGTGATGATATCCAAGTTAAGGCCCATTTCAAATTGGTAAGCATGTATTTTAGTGCTTTAGTCCAGTGCTCTTCAGAATTAAATTGTATTTTAATCGAATATGCATGTGGAGGTGATGCAGTGTCTTCAATTTTGCCCTTATCTATCCTGTAAGGCAGACAAAATCCAGTATTTCCCTTCTCAACTTGTTCTTTAAACTGTTGGAGGCAATCTAAGAATGCTACCATTGCGGCATCAAATTTAGTGTCCCATAGAAAACGGAATCCTCCAGAACCATATAAAGGCAGGACTTTTTGATCTTCTAAAACTTCTATGTACGAATGATTTCCATACGGAACAAGACGATATCGTTGAAAGCAGAAATTAATTTTCCTCGCCAAGGAAGACAGCAGGAGAACGGTTTGTCCCCAAGCTGCATTGATTTCAGACCAATCTACGGGTGCAGTTGGTAAACGTCCTAAACGGAAGTTATTTATAATGCCAAACTGGCCTGAATCGCTGATGTGAAACGTAGCTTTAAACACATTTGTCTTTTTTAGCTTTTCTAATTGAGTCTGAGTGTATGCCAGTTGACATTCATAGAACTTCATTTGATCTTCTGTAGTCATTACATCCTTTCTATATCTTGTATATTCACGCCAGTATATATCCTCTTCCTTTTGTAGCCTTTCTTTTTCTGTCTCCTGTATAGCTATTTCATCTTTCATAGCTTTCTCTTCTTTTTGTAATGCGGACAATTCCTGCAAAAGCCTGCTTTGTTCCTGTTTCCAATCATCCAATTCTTTTTCCAATCCTTCTAAATTCAAATCCTCTTTGTCATCTTCCAACTTTTTTAAATAGTCACTGTAGTCCTTCCATTCGGCCTCTGTCTGCCTTAAATGATTATCCATTAATTCTAGCAGCGTGTCGGTACACTCATCACACAGGGGATGATCCACGTCAGAATTGTTCGATAACAAATCAAATAGTGTCGCTTTTACGTGCAACTGGTGACCTTGAGAAGTAGTTTCCCATCCGTCGGAGATAACCATGAATCCATTGGCCCCATTACCCGATTCGGTCATACGAAAAGGAGGTACATAATGCTCCAAAGAAGAAGATTGCAAGTCCAAATCAGTTTCATTATTACGACGTATTTGAAGCGTCAAATCGGCTATAGTGTGCTCCCCCAGGTTGTTTAGAGACTCGTCTAGCTTCAAAGGCTGCAGACATCGCTGACAAGAGAAACTGACGAAGGATTTCGCGTCACTCATCGTAGAAAACGTTTATAACTTTTACAAATTACGTCATGAAAACTTATACAAAAATTAAACTAATTATGAGTCCTATTTACTCGTGACTCTGATGTTAATAAATGCAAACGCGGATTTAATATCCCTGTTTCTAATTATATGTCTTTTAATTAATTTTAAACACGTAAAATAAAGAATCACAGCAAACAAAGAAATCGTTGTGAGAAAATTTTGACAACGTCACGTCTAATTAAGCTAGTGGTAGCGAAAGTTGACAACGGAAACCGCGACAAAGCTATAGAAAAATACGAATATGCTTCTCTGTCTAATATAATCAACGTGTAAAGTACGTTCAAGAAAATTAGCGCATTTTGACATTTGCGATGATTGTGTTGCCATATCGAGACGTAACCGCCGACTTATCGTAAGCGACACTTTTTACCTAAGCAGCGTTTTTTATTCCAAATGATATTTTAAACTTCAATGGACAAGAATGCGTCGAAATTTCCCGCAAAAATTACATCAAATAGAAATTATAGCAAAATCTAAGTTTATCTTTAGCTCAACGTTTTTATATTTTAGTGTAACCGACAGAATCAATATAAAAAAATCATAACGTATTGCCAGAGAACAAAAAGTAACTATTAAGTACGCGCCCTTGTTATCGCAGCGGAGAATCACTACTTCGTCGTTTATTTTTACTAAAAACAAAGTGGAAACAATGAGTTACACCTTGTTGCATATTTTTAATCACAAGTGTTACCTTAAATGCCTGAAATTCGCAAAAATCTAAAGAGTATATAGAGAGATAGAGGTAGCAAAAATATTGAAAGCGCCAAAAAAGTTTTAATATCCAATAATTTAAAAAAATTTAGCTGTACCACAAACGGTTACGAAATTCACTATAATTCAAATTCAATTTAGTATCACATTTATGCGTAAAAAAATTTTAAAAGATCCCTCTCCTGTAAAATTTATTTTCTGTCGCTTACACTAATTCGGCGATAATATAATTTCGTAATTTTTAATATTTTGGTACTACGTACTACCTACTGCTACTTACGTAGGACGTTTTATGCTATTATTAACTCGATCTTTATTTGTATTTAATTATAAATTTTTATAGTTTATCGTGTCACTTACAGACTGCAAAATTACTAATTCATTTCGTGTTTTATCTACCGGGAATCAAAGTCACTACCTTTACGAATTAATAAAACATTACTTTCGATTCTTTCAGAACTTTAATTCACTTTTAAGACTAGAATACAATGAATTGCTAACAATCAGCACCTATACATATTTACACTGATATGTTTTCAAAATAAAGATCACTGTCAGTTCTTTAATACATTACTGAATTTGGTTTAATTCAGATAGTTCAGTTTAAAGCAAACAAATTACATACCTAAAAACATTGACTAAAAACATAGCTTTTTAAGTCAGGGCGAGTTTGTATTTTTGAGTAACTAACATTACGCATGCAGTTTGTTGATTGGCTCACTTATCCAAAATAAACCAATTTACCTGAACCTTATTTAGATTTTGAACAAATTTTCTGTTTATAAAAAATAATAAAAAAAAATTATATTCGTGGCACAACTTGTATGCCCGTTACTTGCAAATGAAAAGAAATGAATGGCAACAAAAAGAAATCAATAAACATAAACATTAGTATCGTACAGAAATATCTTGTGTACATGACCTAATAATAACATCGTACAAGATCTATAATAGTATCGTATTATAGACATAAAATTTATACTGAGAAGAAATTTGTTGCAAATTTTTAAACATACTTTTTAAATCACAAAATAAAATCGTCTTATAACTACGAGGTAAAAATGGTAAAATAATTAGTTTAAAAATAGTTATAAGTAAGTACAATAATAGGAACAATAATATTTTTGTTTTTAGTTAAGTATCCTTTTGGCACAACTAAATTAAGAATTATATATTATAAAACAAATAGTTAAGTGCGAAAATGCTCAGTGAAGTCAACAATCCCACTATTTCCTAATTGAACAAAATTGACAAGACCCACATTTCACTCGTTATTACAGATTTTAAACTATGTACATAATTTAAAAGTTTCAGATGACAGTACATAAACACACGTAAATTTAAATTTCCTAATAGAAGTCTTTACGATATTTAAATTTTTATTATTAAAAACCTGAGCAGTATTACAACAATAGCGTCATAATGAGCCGTAATGATTACACATGGAGCACGACGCGTTAGGCATAACGAGATCCGGTAACTTTCTAAGTTTCGCATGGCAACCGCACGATTCTGGATGAAATTGTGTATTTTCTCCAAAATTATTTAGTTTATTAATAATTAATAACATTACGTAAGTTACAAAAAAAAAATAATTATAATATTTAGTGAGTAAAATCTATATTAATTTTTTAAAATTCAGAAGCTGACAAGCCGTGTTTTGACCCATAAACCGTGGCACTTGTACTGGATTTGAATTCAATGGTATTTATTTAAACTACAAATAATTACAATTACAATATAATTATTTATATTGTAACTGGAAGAAATTCTTTAAAATCTTACACTTGTCGAGGGTAAAAATCTAACTGGTCATCGTTAGTAGTGTGGCACCTTGAATGTCATTAACATAAAATATCAGTCAATCTATTTGATCACTACTGGACACGTAATGAGAATATTAGGGCTTATATTCTATTTCACAAATTTGAGACCAGTGCCAAGTCAACAAAATACAAACACAACTACAGGCAAATATCTAAATAAAAGTTAAAAAGTACCTAATGTCTTTTGAACGCTCACTGGTCGATAATTCTAAACTAAATCACAATAAAACAACCGTTTCCTCTTTTTGAATTAGGAATAATAATATTTATACAGCTATAAAATTTTTTTGACGTACTAAAAACTTCAATCACTACTCAAATCACGTGTTATATGCTATAAGTAAAAAGTGAGCAACGATCTTATGGGTGCGTTTTCAAAGTAGGTTATTACCCAAAATCAACCTTATGGCACAACTCGTATGCAAGTTACTTGCAAATGAAAACGCACCTTAATACTCTTGATATACTAATAATTACCATTCAACTAATTTTATTTGCATATGACGACACTTAAGCTCCGCCATGAAGGTAATGAGAAGGGTCTTGCAGCTGGTGGTAGTAGGCGTTCGGAAGGAGAGCCTGGGCCAAACCACCCTGTGGTCCTGCATACTGAGCTGGCACTAGCATTTCTCTGAAAAGACAATTATTTTCTTTAAATTTTATAGTATCACATCGGTGGTCAACCAGATACTATAGATTTGGAAAGACAGCGTTAAAACACCAATAAACTCTTTGAATTTCTTAAATGCTCCTTAGAGCTCGTAACACAGAGGGCTTATGCCAATACCAAGAACCAAAATCCTAATCCCATATTTAAGAATGATGAGACAAAATGTATAAGTCAACAGCACACTTAGTTTTACACTTTGAACCGTGGACTATACGTATCTTAAGTAGAGATGCGCGGATGAATATTATTAATAACTAATCGTTCGAATGGGCAAATCATTCGCCTAAGTCGAATCCCTTTTTTACCTATATCTATGGTCAAATCCAAGCACAGTCATTCGACTCGAATCGAATGATTAGTAATACCATCAGCAGCTTGATTTTGATTGCCTCTCCCGAACGCAATCAAAATCAACGATCTGCACGAACGATTATTATTTCGAAACTACTAGGAACCATTCACTATGTCCATTGTCCATATCAAAATATCCCTGTCCCGGCACATTTACGGTATTTACCATTGTCAGAGAGGGCTACGCAGAAATGCTCCGAGTGAGAGTGATAATGGCAAACGCCGAAGACAGGGAGCGCCACTATGGAGTTTCTGCCCCGGTTCGAAAAAAACGTAGATCCCGTTTCTTTTTTTTTTATAATACCAAGTAAAGGAACAAACAAGTCATGCGGCCTAGTCATTGACACATATGTCATTCAGACTTTAAATCCTAAAGATCTTAGGGGCAATGTCTCTGCGCCCGTCATCCTGAGACATAAGTTGACAAGTCCCAAGTGCTTGTAATTTCACCAGCGCCTTACCCTCCCAAACCGGAACGCTGCAATGCTCACATTACTGCTTGGCGGCAGAAATAGGTAAAGTGACAGCACTTGCCTGGACAATTCTTTCACCAGGATGCTCCTTAACTCTCATTGTTAAGTTCAATTTCCTTACAAAAATAAGCTTCTATTCCCTCCGCAGCAATGTAAATTGAGACGAACGAAAATGTTGGCGTAAAGCGTAAACACTCTCCCTTGCCCAGCAATGGAATATGTAATTGTTTAATAATAGTGGTGATGAGATTTTTCTTCTAATAATAGTGACTATCATGCAGGAGGAGTTTTGGCCGAAGGGTGTCATGTATCGGCGATTCCGCGGCCGGTTACCTGACACCAGATTGCGCCACACGTAGCCAACAAGTGCAATTCGTGTAGATTAGTTATTTACTTTATATAGTATACTATTTATGTACTTATGTTATGTATGCGCCGTAGTTGCCTGATATAAATTAATAAATAAATAATAATAATAATATTTACTGAACTAAATACTCTCCAACAACACTTAACTATGGATACGATTTTGAAAGAAAATCGTTCTAAATGTGGAGCATATCGTCTAATCCGTAGAACAAAGATCTGAAAGCCGAACGGTTACCATGCAGGACTGCTACGCAGAGCTCCCAGGTTCTATTCCCGAGCCGGGAGAAATTTTTCCATGGCCTACATTTATTTCTCTCGTGAGTTTGGGTGTAATTTGTGATTGTCTATGTGTGTGTCCGTGGCACCCACGACACAGTCAGCGTTTCCCTAGTGCGGGTTTCCTTAGTGTGTGCGTTATTATATTATTATTATAGGAAATGAAACTATTTTTCCGGATTTAAATCGCGTATATTTGTTTTTTCAAACAAACCGACGTTTCGGGCCCTTTACAGGTCCCATGGTCACGGTTGACTGAGGTGGTACAGTCTTCAACCAGTTATGTCTAATATTAATGCAAACCACCCTATTTTTTCACTTTAGTTACAATAGTTATTAATTAAATACCTTATTTTTAATTTTACAAAGAAAACATTCCAATTTACGCTACATTAAGTTTTACAAATTATTTTATTGAATGAATTTTTATTAAGTTTAATTTATTATTAATTATTAATAGAAATTAGAATAAACTAAAACATATTAATTAGTACTGCAGTCTTATGTCTGTTTGGGATTTTTCATTAGAGGAAATACTGGATCCCAAACTGGTGGTACGAAGAAACCATCTTCCCTGTTGAAATTAGGATGTTTTTTCATTTCAATGGCCTCTCGCAGCATCCTGGGCAGATAACGGACTTCTTTTGCAAGGACCTGGGGTTTGTCAAACTTCATTGAACGTGTAGGTTTATCCATGACATGCTCGCAGACTGCAGACTTGTTTACGCGACGGTGTTTGACATCAGCTATATGTTCTTTGACGCGGGTACAAATAATAGGGGTTAAAGTATGAAATTGCCGATTTGTACTGAAAATCTAAATTTTTTATTTTTTAAATTTTTAACAAATTTGTTTAATCAAAATAGTTGCCATTATTATCTATACATTGCTGCCATCTAATGGGAAGGTTATTAATGCCTTTGCGATAGAACTCCGACGATCTAGACTGCACAAACTGTGTGAAAGCATTTTGTACTGCCTCCTTGGAAGAAAACTTCTTGTCACGTAGATAATTGTCCAAATCACGAAAAAAATGGTAGTCCGTTGGAGCAAGGTCTGGTGAATACGGAGGATGACGAATGGTTTCTAACTGCAGTTCCTGAAGGGTCAAAATGGTTTCTCGTGCTGTGTGAGGTGTCGCGTTGTCGTGGAGCAATAATGGTGAAGATCGATTCGTGAGTCGGGGCTGTTTTACTGCTAGTTTTGTCAACATGGTTCGGAGTTCGGCACAATAGACATCTGCCGTTATTGCTTGACCAGATCGGAGAAAACTATAGTGAATAACACCATGCTGAGATCACCAAACAGTTACCATTACCTTTTTATTGGTAAGTTTTGCTTTAGGACACTGTTGTGGCATTTGACCTGGGGTCAGCCATTGCATTTTTCTTTTCCGGTTATCATAAAGAATCCACTTTTCATCACATGTTACAATTCGATCCAATATTCCTTCATTTCTGTACCGGTTCAACAAGGCAACACAAGTTTCAACACGCGTTTCTTTCTGCAGTTCAGTCAAATCATGAGGCACCCATTTTTCGTATTTTTTTATTTTATTGATTTGACGCAAGTGAGTCAATATTGTGGGTAAGGTAACGTTAAACCATGCCGCTAATTCCTGGGTAGTTTGACTAGGATCGGCTTCCACTATCTCTCTTAATTCATCGTTATTCACCTGTGTGGGCGGTCTTCCTCGTGCCTCGTTCTTTAAGTCGAAATTTCCATCACGAAAGCGTTTAAACCAAAATCGCACGGTGCGTTCATTAGTAGACCCCTCTCCAAACGCAGCATTGATATTGCGGGCTGTTTCTGCCGCGTTAGTTCCGCGTCGGAACTCGTATTCAAAAATCACTCGAATTTTCGCAGTATCCATCTTTCTTGTCTAAATTGAATAACAAAAACAATTGAAAGTCGATATTCAAATGTTTCAAAT